GTTAAAAAGTTAAAGTCTAAACATAAAACTTAGGAACAGATTTTGATAAAATTTTAATAACACCATTCCGTAAGTGTGGGCGACAAAGGAAACCAGGAATGGAAATTGGAAATATGTATATAATAGTCAAAGGAACTTAGAAGACTAGGGGCCGTGAAGGGAAGCCAAAAGGAAACAATAGATATGCGTGTCAATTTCGAATTTGGTATATAATAATATATAGCTATAAATAATATATGTGGCCTGTACTGCACAGTAAGTATATACTTTCAGTTAAAAAAAGAATTATCGAAATCGGTTCACGACTGACGGAGTTATAAAGTAACAAACATAAACAAAAACACAACCGACCCGATGAGAACATTTTTTTTTAATACAGCTGAAAACAACTCCTTCGATCGTGACATAACAAAATATGGATCCAACACGGAAATAAACCCCATCGATGGCAAAAAGAATTACCTGTCAATATCAGTACATATCTGACAGAGATATCATGCAACATACGCACACAAAAAAACACAAGCCTCTTTTTATAAGCCGCTCAAGTAATAAATAACGTTTACCGGTTACTACGTACGTAATGGATTGGTGTGTTGAAAAACGAAAGAGTCGTTATGTTATACTGTGACGCCCAGAATAAGGATTCGTGCTTGATAATAGCCTAACAATTAACTGCTTACGTGTCAGGTTACAAGCTGCTGGTGGCGTGGAACTACGTACCATTGTAACTGGAGTTTGTTAATTTTAAACCTTTAACTTTACGAATTTAAAAGAGCCAAGCACAAATCGAGCAAAGGTAAATGCGGTTCCGTAGCTATTCTATATATTTGACGTAAACATGATCATACAACTGTGGAAATTAACTGTTTCAACTCTTAAAACTAAATAATAGAATACTGGCCAATTTTAGCAACAGTTTATAATTACAATCGAACCCTCCTATACATTATATATAGGTATAGAAAAAGAGCTTTTCTTACACACACTACAATTGTGGATACTCTGTCTTTCTCTTTCTCACTCTCTCTCATACACATACATACATAATTACATCCATACACCTTTGAACGACGAAATATTTTGTAAATAACACACATTAAAAATGTTTGAGTTTAGAACGCGACATTATTTGCTTATTTTGTAGATTTTTTGCTCGGCAAAAGAAAGTGGTCATCACAAAACTAATAAGAGACCAATGTAGAAATAAGCCCTATGGTTTGAAAAAAATAATCGAAATCACCATTTACAAATTGGTAAATAACCTTATAAGAACAGTCACAATAATCCGAAGAATACTAAAATCAGAGAAAAGATCAAATATAAAACATAGAGAAATAAAACAAAGATTATTTTTCATTTATTCAAAGTTCAATTACCCGTGAACCGATGCGGGTAGGTATGTCCCCTTTCAAACAAAATGAAGCGATACACTTTTGTCGGTAACCTACGAAAACATCTTGTTTAAATTATGCCTCAGTCCGAACCGCGATATCGTTTTAACCAGTGGCCTAAGCTACAGGCGACGGCGTGCTATGTCTAGAGTCCAAGTCAAAAGCGATTAGTGGATTGGCATTACATTAAAAATATTTGAATTTAGAACGAGTCACACATTTTGCCTCAATACAATAGTTTTTTGCTCTTTAAATAAACGACAGTATTAGTCGTTACAAAAGTAATAGGAAATTAACACCAGAATAAACCCCATCAGTTAAAATTAACCATCTGTCTATTTTACTTTGTTTTTAAGCAACTTAAAATGGCAAACAAACTGGCGGCATACCTGGTGGAAAGTGGTAACAATCGCCTCTAGACATGAACAGTACCATGGATATCACAGAGTATACCGAGTTATCCAGGATTCCCTCATGCGTTGCCTTTTGAGGACTAAGTGTTATTTCTCTGTACCCTGTAATATCATTACCATCGACCCTAAAGTAAAAGTATTGAAAAAATAATTTACAAAAATAATTGTGAATTTTTTTATAATTTGTGACGTAATCGCATTAAATTTCCGTTTAATTCACAAAAATATGCAAACGAATTGACAAACTCTTTCTTTTAACGGTCGCTTAAAAAATATTCTATTGTCTGATGTGTTTTTAAAAGAAAGAACTAAATAATTTATCATTGCCGTGTGGTTCCGACATAGAACGGGAAGCCCCTTCCTTTCCCGTAGGTATTGAAAGAGGCAACTAAGATTAATGGTCGAGGCAATGGTGGGCAAAAGCGTCCCTCTTAAAACGTCACCAAAGCTTAACTGCGGTCGCCAACCCGCCTGCCAGCGTGGCAGCTACTGGCAATACCTCCCTTTATGGGGAAGAGCTATGTTTAGAAGGAAATATTTAACAGCTGATATGATATGATGCATCTGTCATTGATATTTCCCACTAGTTTCAAAATTCGTCGCCATTATTAAAATACTACTTTTTTAAAATAATATTATAACAACTAAAATAATGAGCCATAATAGATCAAACCATGTACTCTCGGCATAAAATGGGCCATCCTTTCCTTTCCCGTGAGTGTCAGAAAAGGCGACACCTAACAAATTAGCATAACCTAACTGCGGTTGCCAACCCGCCTACCAAGCATGGCCACTACTAGCAACCCTCATTAACGGGGAGGGCTATGTTCAGCGGTGGATAGTTAATAACTGAAATGATTATGACGGGGAATAAATCATCTCACCAATTATCTCTCACTGATTCCACACCAGCACATACCATTATCCATTTAAAAAAAGAACACACCTAATAATATTGAAACATAAACCATTCTAAATTTAAAGAGAGCCTAAATAGGATAACATTTTATTTTCGTCATAATTTATCAGTATTTCCTTATTTCGTGAAACCAGACGCTTTTATTACTTAATTAAATCCGTTAAGTAATTTATCGCTTTTAACTTAACCCACGCGAATAGAGCCGCGCTCAATGGAATTTCTCAGCTGGATTTACCCTTAGTAATCCAAAAGGAATTTTCCGAAATTCTACCTTATGATAAAGCAGGAAGGTATACTTTCCCTCGCACTTAACCATCGAACAGACGTGACAACGGCCGACAGGATAAATAAAGATATTTACGAAATATAGCAAAATATGGCGGAAATTTAAAATTATATTTGTATTCAGGGGGGGTTAGATCCTTTGGCATTCCATTCACAAGGAAATTATTGGGAATACAAGACAAGATTTTTCTTGTTCCAGGTAAAAGGGAAATTTTTAATTTTATACCTTTGTTTATTTCAATTAAGAGCATTCATAACCATTTATTTATTTATTCTTTATGACCACATTACAAAAATTTTTAGTACAAAAGGCGCTCATTGTAATAGGCAAATACACTGCCATTTACTCTCTCTTTCTCTCTCTCTATTTAGCAAAATGGTTGACTGGTAGAGAATGCTATCAAGCTATAATCCACCCTAAAGACATAATTAAATATGTGCAAAGTAACATAAGTACAAAGTAAATAAATAAATAAATTACCAAAGCCTAACTGCGGTAGCCAACCCGCCTGCCAATCGCGGAAACTACTAGCAAAACCCTCCAGGGGGGGAAAAGAATTGCTAGTAATGGGGATTAGTAGCTCCATTACTAGCAATCTACTATATCAGGTCGATCTCCTCCTGGTTCCCCTTGGAAACCATCGTGATTGTTTTATTGTTAGATTCGTCACGGTAGGCTAACTGACCTACTTCATCGTCACCTATCATCCCTCACTGGTGTCCTGCCAGTGTATACCGATAGCGTAGGCGGGGTTACAATTCCATTAAAATTCCAAAAAAAAAAAAAACCTCCAAGGAGGCATGTATTCAGCAGTGGACAGTGAATGGTTGATATGATACTCGTAATTGTATAATTAACGATATCTTATATATAAAATTCTCGTGTCACGGTGTTTGTTACCAAACTCCTCCGAAACGGCTTTACCGATATTTATGAAATATTGTGTGCATATTGGGTAGGTCTGAGAATCGGCCAACATCTATTTTTCATACCCGTCAATGATAAGGGTGACCCACCCCAAAATTTATTTTTTTATTTTTTTTTTGACAATTTTTTTTTTATTTTTATTTCATTATACTTTAGTATTGAAAAATGCATACAACTTTAAATTTTCATCGTTTTACGATCAACCCCTGTATTTTAATTGCGATTTTTATATTTCGCAATAAGTAGTAAAACAACGTTTACGGGGTCAGCTAGTAATATAATATAAATATATAATTAATTATTTTTATTCGCTAGCAGAGCATTTTTTAAATAATCAATCAGAAATATTGAAATATATTTTCCATCATGCCTCCAATCAAACTGTTTATAATCACTCCTCTTCATCCAAAGGTTGACTAGGAGAGATCGCTTTTGACGATAAGGCCGCCCGTTGTTTTTTTATTGTGATTATTTCTTATAATTGTTTGTATCTATAATAAATTTACTATTGTAATATTTTGAAAGAAACATTAAAGAGTAGGGTCGAGGAGGTCGACCTGGTTGGGTATATTGCTAGCAATTGGATTCTCAGACTCCATTACTAACAATTCCTTCCCCCCCCCCTGCCGAGGTTTACCCTATAACACTACAGTATAGAGTTTTTCAAAAAGTGTATATAAAGATTTGTTCAGGATCGGCAACGCGTACGTGTCACTCCTAGTATTACAGGCGTCTATAAGCTACAGTAAAAGTTTACCATCAGACGGGCTGTATGCTTGTTTGCCAACTTCGTGGTATAAAAAAAAGAGATTATAATCATAATACTAAGCAGAATGAACCTGTCTGCCTATTTCTAACTAAAGGGAAAAGAAGTTAATTTTTAAATAATGGGGACTCCTTTCCTAGTAAGGGCACATTACTACGTCAGCCTCACCCTCTACGCGGTCTTTCCTGGAAGCCATTATGGTCAATTCTTAACGAATTCATCACGATGGGCCATTAGCATAGCCAGATACATAATTCAATCTTAATCCTAAAAAAAAACACAAATTGTCACTTACCTTTAAATCCCTGGAATGTCGCAACTCTTGTCTCCTTGGTGGTTGTCCAGGTAGATCGGAATACACCAGGTTTCTAACTGATCCCCGGAACTTCGGTTCAAATATCACTGAAGGCAATGCTAGGGTTGTCAACTTCACGTTGTATCTGTAACAAAAAATATAAATAAATAAATACGACTGAATACCTTCAAGAATCTATTTAAATCCAATTTTTTTTATTAGATATACTTATTGTGCCAAATAGCTACCGTCTTTTACCTTTCTCCTCTGCCCAAAGGTTGTCTGTAAGAGATTACTTTAACGATAAGACCGCCTTTTGTACTTCATATGTGTAATATATATTGTTTTATATTATTCTTTATGTGGTGCAATAAAGAGTAAATAATTTATTTATAGAAGTTTAAAATCCCGGCATAGATTTTTTTTTATACAACTTAGAACAGCAAACAAGCTGACGGCCCACCTGATGGAAAGTGGTAACCGTCGCCTATAGACATGAGCAGTATCATGGATATAGCAAAGTATATAGATATGACATGATGATACTATCCAATTAATTATATCTGTGTATGAAATTCCATACAAATCCAATCAAAAGTTATTCAATCGTTTCAACACGATTGAATAACAAACATTCAAACATCTTCACAAACTTTCACATTTATTTATTTATATGCTTCTGTACATTCACTTATAATATAGATATTAAGGTATAACAAAAATGTTCACAGGCAGCCTTATCCCTTAAAAGGATTTCTTCCAATCAACTTTGAGAACCAGAAAGGAGAAAGTATCTATAAGGTATGTACATAAAGCATAACATATGTGAAACAAAAATAATACTATAAATAATAAATATACATGATATATATATATATATATATATATATATATATATATATATATATATATATATATATAATAAATATATATAAGCATAGAATAACTATAATACGTAACTATAATATATAAATAACTCACTGTCAATTGTATTGTAAAATCTTTTAGCTTGAACTTTAAAGGTATAAACGGTCTGCACCATTGTAGTATATATATATATATATATATATATATATATATATATAAATAAGAAAGAAAGTATATAAACAGGCAAATGTTGCCGAGGAGTGGAGCTGACCATTACATCTATTCATTAAGTTACAATGTTAATAACAGTATGTATTTAACAATATTCATAAGATTTACTTGTGATTTTTCTCTTATTTCATCATGACATTACGCGGAATGCGTTGGGTGACGTCAAACAAAAGATGCCATTTCTCATTAGGCGACGTTCGCGAAAACAATTTTTTATTCATAATTTAATTTGGTCCTATCGATTTATCGCCATTTGTAAATTCAATTCTACAAAATCCAACACCGGGAGCATTCATCTTGGAATTACCGGGGAGAGCTGCTACAATTTATCTACCCTTCTTTTCTATTACGACGACACTGAGTAATATTTCTGTGGCAAAGTTGACATGTTTCAAAATGTAATGTTTTAAAATATATGGCCGCTAGCTGTGTGATGCATTATCTGAAGATATTTCCTTAGTTGATAGGTATAAATATATATACCAGAGTATTTATATTTACCAGAGTATTTATATTTACCAGAGGGAGACTGTACAAAAGTCGATTGCTTGGATACCTCTGTCCTATTCGTGTTTCTACCGTGAAGCAGTTGTGTTTGCATGGCTGTGTTTCGGTTTGAAGGGTGGGATATAGCGTGAAGTTACAGGGTACAGAGGATTAACACCTGAGTCCTCAGGAATGGCAACGCATGGGGTGTATCATGGGCAAAACAGTATACTCTGTTATGTCCATGGTACTGCTCATGCCTATAGGTGACTAAATAGTAAAGAAACATCATAGTATGTCATATTCATAGCAAAAAAATAGCAACTTTTAAATAGAATTCGCATTATATACTTTATTGGCGACGTTTCGACGTAGATTGCACTACGTCGTGACCACGACAGGATGGCGTATTTAAAATATGTATAAAAAACGCGAAAGTTTAAAATGAAATAATATATACTATATCAATTTTCCGTTGAGAAGTCGACCTCTCTTTAATGAAACTTTTGTTTATATGGATAGAGTATCACAAATATTTCACTAAAAATAGATCAACTTTTTTATGCATGTCTGGGTGAATAGGGTTACCATAATATACATTTACCACTCAGTATAATGGGAGAAATTATATTCGAAAAGTTAAGTCGAAAAATAAAAACAATTTATACAAAATTCCTACGAATATATTAAAAAAAAAAACAAACTAAACAGAGCATAGTAACTCGTAATGATGCTTATCTTTACGGATTACTTTCATTTATATCCAAGTATAGACTTATAATATATTTTCCTTTTACAATCATTGAATATTCTGTCCGGGAAATTTTTAATCCAATTTCTTTTTCACACTGTGAAAATGACGCGTATTGTCTTTCAATTTGAGTCAAATTGAATTAACCGACTAAATGTTGACATGCTTTTGACACGCAATGCTCTATCTACATAATCTAAAAGCGGAACATGCATTTACATAACATATCTGACTTAGAACATTTGTATCTCGTTAATATTACAACACAAATAACAGTAGAAATAATAGTGAACTAAAGAGAGTCATATAATAACAAGAATTCGTTCATAAATCAGATTCTTGCATGAGAGACCCTAATAATAGTTTCCCGGCCAACTACAATTAGCCATTACTTGATAAGTTAATTCCTGGATGTACGTAGCACTATTCATATTTCTCAATTACATAAATACGTTGTTTCATATATACAAACAAGTAAATTCTATGTTTATATTATTTCCTAGCAGAAACAGAAATTCTAATTTTAAAATTTGCATATTCATATAACCACTATCTCATAACCATAGACAAATTGAATCTTTGTAATCATTAAATTCGAAATTTAAATTTATTTTACACAATTAGAACATCTCGCTTGTTTTTTTTTTTCATAAAAGTCGGACATAGAGTAGATAGAATATACAGAGACAGTATACGTTCTAGAAACAACAATACTAGAAAGCTAGAAATATAATTACTTTATTAATATCATTCTCTCGGATAAAACGTACGAATTATAGCTTTTTTAAACTTGAAAGCACTCTGGGAAATGTTGGGAAATTTTATAACGACTCCCAAGACTTCTGGCGAGTGAGCTTGTTCCTTGGAATTGAACGAGAAAATAATTATATAAGACCTAAGAGACGGTTAAATAGAGCAGATACATGGACGGAAATTTTTAAATTACGAGTAATTAAAAAATAAACTGCTAAGTATATTAATTTTTAATTTATACTAAAAGAATTATAAACAGCGTGGAAAATTTTATGCAATTTAATAGTTTAGAGAGAATTCACTCTGCCACTTATGAAAACATATGTCTGTACTTACGTTTAAAATGTTTATTTAAATTGTTCCAATAGGTGAGGTAATATAAAATGTAACATTTATTTATACATTTGTTTATACATTTATATTAAACTAGATAGAGACGAAATCGTAGCTAAAATTAAGTAGTAAAAAATTACAAGTATCTTTCATACTTGTCTGGTTATTGTGTGAAATATATGTAAATATGGTAAATATATATAAAGATGTATGTGGAGTGTGCATTTGATTATTCCGTCTTTTTATTACATACACTTCTTGTATCAAATATTGTCTTTCTTTTCTCCTCTATCCAAAGGTTGTTTTTGACGAAAGCTTTAACAAGAATACCGCCCTCTGCACTTTATAGTGTATTTTATTATAGTATATTTTTAAGTGTATATTTCTTTAAATAGTTCAATTAAGAGTACATAAATAAGTATGTGAATTGGACTGAAATAAAAAGTACATATGCATAGTACATATGTTCCTTCTTCATATTATGTGTATACCAGATATATATTAGTTAAGCAGTTATAACACTAAAAGATAACACACAAACTCACCGTCCCATTTATAATTAATAATAAGGATTACTAAATATTTTAAATGTATAATTCTACTTTTGTTTAAAAAGAGGATTTTTGGCTTTGCTTACGAATTAAGAGATATAAAAAAAGTTTTGGAAGCATGGAAATTTATGCTTATTTTGTTTTATTTTTGTTGTTACATTTTGATTGTTATTTTGTTTTATTTGTTATTTTTGTTGTTGCATTGTTTTATTTTTATTTGTACTATTAATTGTATATAAAACAGAACCAATCCCTATCTTTATCAAATGACTTCTAATTTGAGAAGCGAAGCAATAGTAATTTATCACGTATTACCACAGAAACCGTCTAAAATACCATCCTCTTTTAATTAGTAAAGGCTTAAATTGTCGATTCTGTAATCAGATCCATGGGATCCAAGGGTCTGTTCACCTTTTTCTCACGTTAAGAACGGTTTCGATCAAAGATATAGGAAATGACTAGAAGATAAGTGAAAGTAAATGTTTTTAATAAAAAAAAATCACTTAAATTGGGATAAAAAAGATATAACAAAATATAGTCTTATTTTTTTATACAACTTAAAATGGCAAACAAGATGACGGCCCATTTGATGGAAAGTGGTAACCGTCGCCTATAGACATGAGCAGTACCATGGACATAACAGAGTATACTGTTTCGCCCATGATACCCCCATGCGTTGTCATTCCTGAGGATTCAGGTGGTATTCCTCTGTACCCTGTTGTTATGTCATCAAATTTAAATGTAAATTATGTTGATATATTTGTTTCAAAACATAACAAAAGAAGAAATAGTATTAAAATTCACTCAGTTATTTAGGAGCTACAGTGTTACAGATATACTCGTACAAATACAGATAAACCTTAACTTTTACAACCCCTTTCGCGATGGGGTTGAAATATGACTAGCGACGGAGTTGCTCTCTCGAAGGATTGCGAGTTCGACTCCCAGCAGTGCACTTTGGGGATTTGAATGGTGTTATTCTACGCATAAAATATATTGCTTAAATTTAAGGATTCTTTTGACGTCCATAGCATTAACGAAGATATTTGCCGACAAATATTAGATTTTTTTTTACATACCACTGAGGTGGCAAACAAGCATACTGTCCACCTGATAGTAAGCGGTTACCTTAGCCTATGAACGCCTGCAATACCAGGAGTATTACGCGCGTCT